GTTTTATTGATGTTCACATCTCATGAGCAGTGTCATTATTATGGTCAAATAATAAAATGTTTTAGACAGAGATAAGTTTCACAATTTGGGGCTGAAAAAAATTATGGATAGAAATAAATTTAGATCAGAAATTCACTGCCTCTAAAATGTTCATCAAAAGATACAAAATTTCAGCTAGATAACGGAAATAATTTCATATTGTTACAACATGGTCATTTCAGTTAATGACAGTATGTTGTGGTCTTTAAAATGTTGAAAGAGTAGTTTTTTTTTTGAGAGGTTTTTGCTATAGGGCGCGTGCACTCGCCAGACAGGCAGAGAGAAACAGAGAGATAGAAAGCAAGAAATCATCCCCCAGGGGAAATGGCCACGCCACAATCCCTTCTCCATTCTCCTCTTGGGATCTTGGGCACGCACGCACACGCACCTGGCGTGAGTTTAAGTCACCAGGTCCAGGACTCGAACCGCGGTTGACTACTGGGAGTCCAGTGACATAGCCATTACGCTAACTGCTGATCCTGAAAGAATAGATTTTAAATATTGTTACAAAGAAAGAATAAAAATTAAGGTAAAGCATAAATTAATTCACTCAATAGCCATCCCATAATGTGTGTGTATGTATATATACAAACAAACAAAACATCATGTTGTATACAATAAGTTTATTTAATTTTGTCAATTTAAATAAAAAATTACAAATATTTGCTGCTTTGGAAGCATATAAAGTGAGTACTTAGGCCAGGATTTTATCCAATAAGCATTAGTCATAATCATCATTACTGTCAACATTGTCATTATCCTTTTTCAGGTGTTTGCTATAGAGCTCAGGCACTTGCCAGAGAGAGCAAGACAGAGAGAGACAGTGAGAGGGAAAGTGAGAAATCACCACCCAGGGAGATGGCCATGCTGTAATCCCTTCACTTCCACTCTCCTTCTGGGATTTTAGGAATGCACACACACATGTCTACTTCCACTCTCCTGGGATTTTAGGAATGCACACACACATGTCTAGCATAAATTTTAAGCTGCCAGGTCCAGGACTCGAATCCCAGTTGGCCATGTGAGAGTCTAGGGCCTTAACTACTATGCCATCCTTACTTTTATATTATCCTATCTCTCATCAATTTTTCTTGGGAACGACAACTAGATCTTTAAAAGACAAATTTGATTTCTTAAAACCTAATGTTTTGTCTTGTGTGTATTTACAAGATGGATACTTATTAGAATGTATGGTAAAACATCTTTTTTTATTTTTAAGAGAGAGATTTTTGCTAAAGGACATGTGTACTTGCCAGAGAGACAGGGAAATAGAAAAAAGGGAAAGAGATAGAGAGATAGAAAGCAAGAAATCATCCTCCAGGGAGGATAGCCATGCTGCAATATCTTCTCAATTCTTTTCCCAGGGTCTTGGGTACACACGCAGATGCATCTTACATGATTTTGAGGCCCTCGGGTTCAGGACTTGAACTGCAGTCAGCCATGGAGGACTCCGGTGACATAACCACTACACCATCTTCTGGTTCCAACATTTATTTTCTCAAAGGCATTATATGTGAAATATAATCTGATATAAAGTCCATACAACACAATAAATGCCAGCATCAGGTAATATGTGAATCCTTGGCTTACAAATGTTCTGAAAATACATTTCTGAGCTCTCACACAGAAATCACAAGCTTGGCACAGAGGTAGCTCTTTTAGTCCCGGGCACTGATCTCTCTCTCTTCTTCCAGAGGACCAAACAGGACACGATTCATTATTTGTGAGAGCTTTTGTACTTAGTTCTGCTCAGGCATCTCATGGTTGTTCCCATCAGCTTTCCCATGGGTAACTACAGAGATATTTGAAGACATTTTAATCCCAGAAAAGAGGAGAGATGGACTAGCCCTTAGTGCTGGAGACCTGGGCACTGGTCCCATTAAATGTGCTTCGTGAAAAATCAACCCACCATTTGAGGTCTGTTTATTTATTTATTTATTTATTTATTTTGGCATTTATGACATATTTTGAAGTGAAATAAGACAGACAAATGTCCAATCCTCCTTTGATCATGACTAATGAAGGACAATAGCCCTGTTCTTGACCTCCTCTGTCAGGAACTGAAGTCTCCAGTAAACCTTATACTCTGGTGACATTTCTGGAGTTGTTTAGTGTTTGAGAAATTTTCACTATTCTGTTGACTCATAATTTCCATTTAAATTATTAAATTATCACAATTTAAGGAAGTACATCATGTTTTTTTTTACTGATGAGGAAACAAGTAGAGAGATGAGACAGTTTTCTTACATTTCCAAGGGTAATTAATTGCTGGACGTAAAATAAGAAACCAGACCTATCTGATCCAAAGCTCTTATTCTCTAAATTCAAAATATCTATTTCTGAATCTTTTGACATTTCATTATGCTCATGGTATTTCATGTTTATGGAGTATCTCCTTTCTAAAATCCAGCTTTGTGAATACTATTATTCAGTTCCATGAAACAAACTTGTTCTTAACATCACTGGTTATTTCCCATAATAGCTGCTTTGTTTTATTCTTTTCCTTTTCCGGTATCTAAAACTAGACTTTAATATATAGGTATTTTGTGCCATAATTCTAGACTTTATAAGCTGTATTTCATTTGCTTTAGCCAATGCTGCTTCCATTTTTCTTTTGTAGATAGTCACAGGGAATGGTAGAGATACAATTTTTCAAAAAGTAAGTTTTCATAAAACTGATCTTTTTTGGGTGAGGGTGGTCAAGAAAAAAGTTTTGCATTGCCATAATAGTAGAATATTTATAAATCTGTTAAATTTAGGGAGATTAAAAAAATGCAGTTTGATGAAAGTGCTTCATGGAGACACTCTTCTTTTTCTATAATCCTTTCATATAT